GAGGAAGATAGAATAGATAGATAAAGAGAGGTAGGGGAGAGAGAGAGAGAGAGAGAGAATAAAATAGACAGATAGATAGATCAGGGGTCTTCAAACTTGGCAGGTTTAAGACTTGCAGACCATCTCCCAGAATTCCTGAGCTAACATGACTGGAGGAGGAATTCTGGGAGGTTACTAACTTGAGAACTGCAGTGATTCACTTAACAACCGTGGCAAGTTGTAAAATGGGGCAAAACTCATTGGACAAACGTCTCCAAAGTACCCGAAGGCAGGACAAGAAGCAACAGATGGAAACTTAATTCGAGGTTGAGAAGCAACCTAGAACTAAGATTAAAAAAATAATTCTGACTTTGAAGAACAATGGAACAGCTTGCCTTCAGAAGTTGGGTTTTTAAAAAGAAGAGGTTGGATAGATATTTGTCCAGAATGGTGTAGGGGCTCCTGCTTGAGCAGGGGGTTGGACTAGGAGACCTCTAAGGTCCCTTCTAACTCTGTTATTTATTCCATTAAACACAAGGCCACACTCTACTTGACTTCAGCACCAGGGACAACTCCTGAACGCATCAGGACCACGGACAGCTCCCCATTTAGCCGGGAGCCAAAGGTATCAAAATGTTGACTCACCAACATCAAAGACGATGTTATTCCAGATCTGATTTTAACCGTCTTCCTCTTGAACCCAGACCCTCTCCAGGGGAAAAAATGCTCGAGTCCCCATTGCTAAGTGACACCAGTTTTTTGTTTTTTTTAAAAAAGGGGAGGGTAATGACTCCATTTTTCTTGATCACAGGAAAACCACTTTGAGAACGAAATGGATTCGGGACACCTCATTCTTCGAACAATTCATGCCATTCCCTTATTATTATTATTATTTTTATTTTGCAAAGGGAAGCTTTCATCCCCTGAACTATAAATATATTTAGAAACTTGGGGAGGCAGGAAAAACAGTCCCCATTCCTGAAAGATTTGGGGTGCTGGGAGAACCGGAGAAGAGTCTTGATTCCTCCCCCACTTTGCAAAATCAAGAAGACATCATGAATCATTTTGGAATTCTTTCTTTGCGTCACTCCCTGGGAAGATCCAAAGAGAAAAAAAAAAGGTTTCAGTCTCCGACGAGAGCCAGAAGCCAATTCAAGCTTCTCCTTCAAGGACGTGCAAATAGTCTGTTTTTCCCAAAAATATATATATGAAATTTCAGGAATCTTTTGGTGAGAAGCCCGCAAAGGATCGCTGTTGGCTGGAAGAAGGATCAGTTGCATCCGGTCACTGGATGGGAAGAAGTCATCACGTCCAGATGGATCAAGAGAGCTGCAGCCAGGGAGATGGAGAGACAAAGAGATGGAGGAAGAGTTGAGACTGGAAGAGGAAATGGTTGGGCGAGGAGATATGGATGCCTTTCCTTTGGCTAAGCCGTCCATCGTGTCTCTCCAAGAGCTTCCACCACACCTGTTGAACCACACCTGCCCTGCAGGAAATACCTAGCCCTCCACCTAGCCCATCTGTGCCCAAAGGGAAGAGAAACCCAGAAGACGAGGAGAAACGGAAGAAAGGAAAACCGAAAGCCAAGGAGATCAATGGCGGTGGCTCCCTTGTGTCTTATTCTTCCTTCCAAAGGAGGCTGGAGAGGAGGAGGAGGCCTCTTCCAAGAGTGTTTCCCCAAGTAGGAGAGCCAATGGGAGGGTCCAATTGGATCCCACAGGTAGACTCACCTGTGGCTTCTGCGTGAAGGATTCGCGCGTTGGTACTCCGCACACACCCGGACAGAAAAATCTTCTTCTCTTCTACTTTCTCCACCTTGGTTTCCACGAGGACTACAGAGCCCAGCGGGATGGGGCTGGAAGGGGAAGGATGGGCCTGTCAAGGGCAGTGGATGATGGTTCTTGGCAGCTAAACCTCTCTGTGGGTTTCTCCCCTGCCTGCAGCCAAAGTCATCTCAAGTGCCACCCTTCCCTCTCCTTTCTGAAGCAACCAGGCTGGTTGGTCTGGTTTTGTCAGCCCAAGGTGAAGGCGGAAATACAGGCTAAGAATACAGGCAGTTCATTGAGTGGCCATTCAAAGCTATGACATGACTCGGGGCCATTTTCATACTTACGACCGAGAGAGAGCTCAGAGGAAGAGCCAGGCCCACCCCCTGTTCATTCTAGGGCACGCAGGGAGGAATGGAGAAGGGAGCAATGTGGGTTGCATGGCTTACGGGGGAGGAAAGGGCCCTGATTCCCTTAATTAGCTGCAGCTGGAAACACAGTGTTTAAAAAGGGAAGCTGCACACAGCAAGTTGTTGGGAGCAAATCGTGAATTTATCTGGTATCGTAGAAGCTTATCTGGGTTCCTGGCATCTTCCCAACTGTGTGTGTTTTGATGACCTTTCAAGTCTGCAATTCCTTATCCTGCCCTGTCATGTTAATTACCGCCCTGTGGTTTGTGTGGATTTTTATTTACAGTTTGCATGTATTTTGTTTTTGGACTGGATTTCCTCCACTTAAAGGCTGTTCTTGGGAGATTTTTTCTCTCCAGCCGAAGGTAACTGGACATTGGGGGCAAAGTTGGAGGTATTAAAGGGACGCTCCTTGCTTATCCGACTGTGTTGCCTTTGTGCCACGCCCCTTTGGGTCATCACAGCCTCATAGAATGGCAGACTTGGAAGGGATCCTAAAATGGGGCAAAATTCACCGCACCGACGTCTCGCTCAGCCACAGGAAAATTTGGGGCTCGCCGTAAGCCGAGGATCACCTCAGTTGGGGGCGCAAAGAGACGCCGATCCCTGCTCACCTCTTGTAGTTCACGGAGAGGTTGGCGGTCACCACGAACCCCGAGGCACAGATGCCGCAACTCGCAAAGGTGTGATCCAGGATGGCGGCCACGGCCCCCCCATGCACGAATCTGGATCAAATCGGGAGTCGACATCAGAAGAGGCGGAAGGGGGAAGGAAAAGAGTGCGGAGAAGAGCAACCATTAGGGGACTGGAGGCTAAAACATACGGAGAACGGTTGCGGGAACTGGGGAGGTCTTGTTGGATGAAAAGAAGGACCAAGGGGTGACAGGATAGCAGGGTTCTGATATCTGAGGGGCTGCCCCAAAGAAGAGGCAGTCAAGGTACTCTCCAAAGCGCCAGAAAGCAGGATGAGAAGCAACGGATGGAAACTCATCCAGGAGAGAAGCAACCTGGAGCAAAGGAGGAATTTCCTGACAATTGAGGACAAATTAACCGATGGAACAGACTTTGTGGCTGCTCCATCCCTGGAGGCTTTTAAGAGGAGATTGGACGGCCATTTGTCTCAAATGGTCTGGGGTTTCCTGCCTGGGCAGGGGGCTGGACTAGAAGACCTCCAAGGTCCCTTCCAACATCTTTTAGATGTTAGAAAACAGACAGGAAGAATATCTAGCCGAAGGGGGAGACGCAGGCTCCATCAACCCATCCAAGCTCACCCGATCATCCCTTCCAAATGCGACCCAGTTTGGAGGAGAACTGCCATCCGTCTCTCCGAGCCATTGTAAAACATGGCAAACTCGAACCCGCGGCCTTCGGCAGCCACGTTTCGGACGAACAAGCAGGCATCTGGATGCTTTTTCGGGTTGTAGCCCAATTTGCTGAGGACTACAAATGGAGGCGGTGGAGGAAAAAAAAAAGCGAGGAAGAAAACAAAGATATTAAAAGTTGGAAAAAGGAAATCCCCTATTTTATTCGATTTGAAGTTTGGGCTAAAATAAAACAGAGCTAAGAAATGCTGCCCCTCCTCCCCCCCCCCCAGAGGAGGAAAAATGATCCAGATCTAGAATATATTTTTAGGGGGTGGGTGGGAAATAGATTTGTTTGGGGCAGGTCACAAGGGTGGCAATTGGGAGTTCATTTTGGAACCAGGCTACGTGAGAAAAGTTGGTGCAAAATTGTCCCCGCATTAAACTGGAACTTGGATTTTGGAATTTGCTTCCACTTCAGAGGTGAATCTGTTGGCCTTAATTAATTGCACCAACATTGTCTGACCCCCCAAACAGGGTCTTACCACCCATAACTTAAGGTTTCTGAGGGTTGGAAATCCATCCATCGCCAAGTTGCCGAGTCGAGGAACACAACCCCAGACTGCCACACCTTCCTTCCAAAGATGGGGAGATCTTGTAACTTGGGACGTGGTTGAGAGCCAGATCTTTCATCCTACGACTTGATAAGACAGCTAAGGTGTTGTTGGTCAAGCTGGCCAACTTGAAGATGAGTGGCGTTCAACTCCCAGAAGTCCAGCTGGCGGGGAGAATCTGGGGAGTTGGAAGGCCACCCATCTTCGCGAGGTTGAGCGACATTGCAGAGGGAAGGATCTAGAAGAACGATTATTTGGGAAGGCCTGAAGATGGAGAACTTGCCATCTTTCTAACAAGCAGACCTTCGCCGGAGGAAGGCCACTCTGGGAGGAAATGCTTAAAGTGGGATAGAAAGACTGACCGGGCATGCTGTCCACGCTGTTGTTATAACTCGGCATGCGTTGCCAAGATCCATCTTCGGACAACTTTGTGAATTTTTCAAACTGGTCCATCATCTCTTGGCTCCAACTTGGGTTAGGGACACCAAAGTCCCTGAGAAGTTGGTGGGACTCTTGCTAGGAAACAAGGAAGACAGGATATCTGTGTTGAGGGCCCCCACTACAGGACACTTCAGGGCACATGGGTGGGTTATTTGCAGATATCCAACCATCTCTGTCCGCCACAGCAGGTCTCTTGGGCTTGGAGTGCCCTCTATGAATGCAGGAGCCTCAACCTTCTCTAGATCCTCCAGAATCTCCTTAGGATCTCAGAACCTTTTAGATGGTCCTCCAAAACCAGGGATGAAGAGGTTTATTTGGGGAGGGTGTCCTCCCCTTTCTGTTAAGCCCTCCCAAATACTCACCGTGGAGGTCCTTCTGAAGAGCACACGAGGATTCTGTGCCAAGAGTTCTTTCGTTGTTGCCAGACGAGGTATCTCGGTGGCCAACCCTTTGACCGCCTGGTTGATGCTCCTCAGAATACCATGCATTCTGAATCTTCTGGCCTGCTGAGCTCTTGGAAAGGGTGTCTTCTTCT